CGCATAGAGGTCATGTCAAGGCACCACACAAACATTTCAAGCATTATGGAACAAAAAACAAAACATTATAAACATATATAATATAAAAAATAAAATGAAAATGTCATTTTTTAATAAAATATCACATTTTATTTTTTATTTTTTTAATTAGTGCCAACGTCACCAACCTGTAGACACATTGTTGTTCGACGCATCGAAAGGATGTTGCCAGCATCTACGGAGGTAATTCGTTACTTTCACATTATTTTTAACTGATAGACCAAGTAGAGTAATAAGTTTCCCATATCAAAGGGTTCAGTATGAGTTATACAACAAATTAACCAGTACAGGTTTTTACGGGTTATTCATCGGCTATATAATGGATTATATCGTTATTAAGAACATATCATCCCTTATATCTTGCAAACGAGTTTGGTAACAAAATATACATCACTCTATTACAGCCTACGACAACAATGACTACATCGCATCCGTACCAGTATGTGCCCCGGCGCCGCCGCATTGTTCCCTTGCTAGAAGGTAATTTCTGAATGTCTTAACTTAATTTAAATGACTCGTAAAAAGGCCACCTTCCGCGGCATTTCGCGAGGCTGTCAGGTACTGGGGTGGGTTCAAATATTTGGTGCAGAAAGAAGGGAACTCCTGTATAAATAACATGAGTTTAAATGAATTGGGGAACCATCTTCTGTCTTGTCACCCTCCCGTCTTTCGAGAGACTTAAAGCCAACAATAATATTAGCCTAAAGACTGGTCTCTTAAATGACTCCCAACGCCTAAAGAAAAAAAGCTGCCTAATATTTACTTAACATCTGTACATTTTTTTTTTGCCAGCTAAAATTTAAAAGCACTATAACGTACTAAGGGTGGTGGGGGAGGGGGTGTCGACTATCTCCCATATGAATCCGCCCAGGTGTATCATTTAAATAATTATTCCGTGAAGCCCAGTCGAACTATAATTTTAGAAAGACTTTTTGTAATGAAAGTCACATTACCTTTTAAATAAAGAAGAACATGAGCCAATAATTGTTTATAATGTTAAAGCAGGTAAGATAGGCATACTGATAAAAAATATGGTAAAAAATTGATTATACAATACATGCTAAAATGTGATGGAAGTAGACATTCCTTATTCGTCCTGTATTGACTTATTTTAGTGAATAACATGGTCAGTTTACAATATTTTTATTCCATTTACTGAACATAGGCTATACGAGTTTGTATCAGCCGCGATCACTGAAGTGGTACGTTCCACTTACCTATACTCTGCTGGACCTTTCACTGTACTGTACTAACGTTATTTGAATAATGAATTATCACATGTGTTGCTTTTGTAGACTCGTGTTATTGTCAAATTATTTTTTTACGATATATTAATGGGCAAAAAATAGGAACTAAAAATATGCCAATAATGGTAAGACATTTAAAAGACTGGTGCTACGATATATTTCTTCTAGAACTGTGCACGTGTCTGGATGGTAAATCGTCACAAACCCTTTGTCCTTACTAAAATTAGTATATTATGATTGTCCTTACTCAAATTAGGATGATTACTTCGCTCATTTCTTCAACCTAAACCATTCTTTCTGTAATAGGTAACCGATCTCATTACCTTATCCTCCTGATAGGGGGTTCACTAATAGGTTGAGTGATATATTGATCGATTGATATTTTGACTGACTGATTGGTTCAAATCTTGTCAGATTTTGCTGTAAAATACGACTGTACAATAGACCACAAGTTACCTGTTGTTGGAAAGAGTGAGGGCGCTAGACGGCCAGCAAGGAGAAAACCTGTGCCAACAGCTCCGAAGGATACATTACAGGTAAGTATTAATCGAGAAAACAATCTAGTTGCTATGGTTACGCGTATCCAACAATGGAGGCGTTGAAACCTTACGAAACGGTACCCGACGGTTACGTCCTCATTAAGACCTTTTGAGCCAACCCCTATTCAAGTCTGCTCAATGTGTCTGGTTTACGAGAAGCATTGATTATATTCGTATAAAGCAAACACAGATAAACACTTTCATCCTAGGATTTGGTCGTGTAGGCTAAATATAAGATTGACATCGATTTAAATATATTATGCAACTTATTCTGAATATATATATATATATATATATATATATATATATAGAACTGTAAAAGTAACTTCGCGTAAGGTCGGTGGCCAGGGGCGGATCCAGAGATGTCCAAAAGGGGGGGCCGAGATTTGGGCCGATCGAGACAACAGTGACCTAGGGGGTCCGGGGGCATGCCCCCGCGAAATTTTTGTGTTCTAGACGCCCGAAAATAACATTTGAGGCGTTGTGGGCTATCATTTTTTTCTTTTTCTTTCTTTTTTTCTTTTTTTCCCTTTTTTTTACCTCCCAAAAGGGGGGGCCGGGGCCGGGCCGCCCCCCCCCCCTAAATCCGCCCCTGGTGGCGTATCGAAAAGATGAGGTACCGGTACTTAAGGGGAACTTCCCAGAAAAAAAGTTTGTTCCCTTACACCAAACCCCCCTCTTCCTTGAAAGCTTTGTGATTAAAAAAATAATACTCAATAAACATTACCATCTATCACATTAACTCATATAACACCCCTAAATGTTCCCATTCCCACCCTGCCCTCTCCATTAACCCCGTGTCAATCCTAGATATGCCATACAGTAAGTGAAGCAAAATAACAAACACTCACGGCCTAGGACTCGTAAGGTTGTCTGCAATGTGGTCATGTGGTAGGATAACGAAAACGAAGATGCGACATTTGTAATCAGTTTTATAATGGATGCAAAAACTTCCTCCGGCATATCCATCGACCAGCAAACACCTGTTAATGGTGTACGCCATACAGTTCATAAAAATATATCACACTCGGTAACATGACGGATTATTCATATTTGTTATAGCAATAAATAATTAATTCTTTTGAATATATAGCACCATAGAAATATCAATATGATCATTTTAGATTTAAAGAAAATGATTGTTATCTCAGCTTAAGTTATAAATGATCATTTTACACCAATGTACCACATCACATGTGCAAGAGACATATACAATGTATATAAGATGTATATGAATGTATATTATAAAAGGTAACAGGGTATGGCAAGATATATATGTTGGTTTTCACTACTAGCTGAGTATGTAAAATATGTGAGTTGTTGAGATCTTAAGACTAGCAGAAGGCTCACCGAGTTGCCTGCTACCTGAGTTAATTGATTTAGTACAAAAGTGTTTTATATGCAACACGCATACATCTTATATTATGCGTAACTCTGATGACAATAATGAGAAAGCAAATTTACATTACCCATATTTCTTCAGAGCAGTGTCTAGGAATATTGCAATGATAAGGCTGATTGGCATGGTAAGGTTAAGTAGAACTCGATGACTATTAAGAGGGTACTAGCTTGTAAAAAATATGATGATTAACTACTAGAGCCAAATTTCTTTTCTCTGAAAATTTCCAACGGGGTAGGCACTTTAGGGGTGCAAGCATTTTTTTAGGGGTGTGCAACCACCACACACAGCCTCCCTGTAGAGATGTTACTGCTTCAGACAGATCTTTTTTTTGTATAACTTAACGAGTCGTATCACTAGAGATTCTGGAAGCAGAGTGACGCATTTGTTCCGCCAAACCCAAACGAATTAGTGATGGCTATCCTGTTGGTTGAAGACCAATCTTGTGCAGTGTTGGCAACGTAGTTGAGGTCAAACTCTGAATCGACCTCCTCTAAGTTAATAGTGGGAGGTAAAACACCCTAAAAGAGAAAAATGTAAAACTTTGGATTTAGTTTGTTTGTAAACATTCTGACATATCCTTTTCCTGACAGGCTGTGATACACTGTATCTCCTCAAAAAGAGGAGAAAGATTGGGCTTAGTTGTGGGCCCAGGTGGAGGGAAATCACAATTAAAAGATCTTAGAGGTCATGTTGGTATGAATCGCTATGTCAATCTAACATAATATTATTTTATGTACATATAGATATTTGAATACTGTAATGTATAAATTGTAAGTCAAATGTGATGTCATTTTACTTCAGGCAATTTATACATGCACTAAAATTATCCTCCTAATGTATAAAATAAGACTATACTAATTGCTTATTAGTCATTGGTGTGTTGTTAGGATTAAACAGGAGTATAATAAACTGTTTTAGTCTACATACCCTTTGACAGGCAAGAGCAGAAAAGGCAGCTTCTAAGGCCCCGGCTGCACCTAGCAAGTGTCCTGTAGCCCCCTTTGTGGAAGATATGGCAAGGTTGTACGCATGGTCGCCAAACACACCCTTCGTCGCACGATTCTCTACTGTATCACCTGACAAACAAATAATCAAATCACATTTAATGTTGATGTAATTTATAGGCCTAGAGATTTTATATTTTTCTATTTACATACCCATTTACATAATTATGTACTGTTTGAAGGTCTCTTTGAGTCACCTTTGCTGTAAGAGCCCTTCATGAAATATTGTTGAATAAATAAATCAACCAAGTTATTCATTTTTCATTATTTCCTTCAAAGATAAACATGAAAATTGTGTTCTTGGTAGAACAAAACAGATCACAAAGTATTTATCAACATCCTCATATAACAATATATAATCACTCCACAACCATCACCACAAATTTTAAGTGCAATTAAAATGGAATCAAACATATTAATTGAACCCCACAACAAAAATTTTATTTTCATCACCTAATGGAGTGGAAGTAGCATGAGCATTTACGTAGCCAACTTGCTGCGGTGTGATATGCGCATCACGCAATGCTGCCCTCATACAACGCATTGCACCTGAACCATCTTCACTAGGTGCTGTTATGTGACTTGCATCCCCTAAAAAACAAACAATTCAAAATACTAGCAGTATTATGTATTTCGCACATACAATACACAGATTAACAAATTTGACAAAAAAATTGTTGTATGAGCATAATCATGATGTATTGTATATAAGGTTATGAAGTGGATGTCATCATGACCATATTTAGGGATGTCACATTTGTTTTGCTTAGCATGAAATACAATCAATAGAGAATAGTTATACAGTAAGCAGTACAATATTATGTTACCTGACAAACCATAGCCTAGCACCTCAGCAATGATCTCAGCTCCCCTCCTCTTTGCATGCTCATATTCCTAAAGGAAGTGATCAGGAAATTTCAATGTATGTTTACAGCAATGGCAGTATTCAAGAAAATTAAAGAAAAACAGAGAGCAAATCACAGTCTTCAAACACATCACATTATTCTAACCAATAAGAATTATGCATACTGTACCTCTAACACTAACACTACAGCACCTTCTGCCATAACAAACCCATCTCGGTCTTTGTTGAATGGTCTTGATGCTTTTTTTGGGCAACCATTGAAGTTAGTACTCAAAGCCCGAGCTCTGTATAAAACACAAATACAGTAACAACAGTGATATGGGGTGTGATACAAAAGTAGAATAGTGTAATGGAAATATTGATGATTTGAAATCCATTTTTTATGACACAACTGGTTCATTCAGATTAAAGAATGGAATACAAACTATTTTTTTGACAATAAATGTCTTTGAATCGTCAACACTATTATTGACTAACCTTGCAAAGCCAGCGAGACTTAGCGGTGATATGCAGGCCTCCGTACCGCCAGCCACCATAACCTCAGCATCACCGTTGCGTATAAACCGCATAGCATCACCGATTGAATGGGCCCCTGTTGTACATGCTGTTGAAACAGAATGATTCGGACCCTGAAAATATAAAGATGTAATCCTCACAAATTAGCATTGTCATGAATAAGTTCCACAAGTTTTGAGGGATGTTTTAATAAATGGGGGAATGAACCTTACATGCATTCATTACAACTCTTATATATTGCTATTTCATGAAGATCAGAGCGTTCGAAGCTTGGACTAGCTCATACAGTAACTTTATTCTAACCTAAGGGTCTCTTCGTGTCTTGTGAGTTACCTGGTAAACCAGTATCAGTTACTCTTGTCTGTCCACAACAGGGGCTGTATCCCGGGGAGCTCACTTGCATACCAACCAAACAGGGGGGTGCCGCAGCCACTTCAAGACATGAGGCACTTGTGCTACCTATTTTACTGAAAATTCTTATGGACTTGGAACTACCATTTACCAAAATAGCACTGTGCTCTAAAAGACGACAGGAAAAAGACCACTCAATAGTGCCAGAGAGGGCGCAATATTGACTGGTTCCCAATGGCAAAAATTACGGTCGCGATCTCGTGGCTGTACCAAAGGTAGGTTTAGCAAGGGGCTTACTGGCTTAGCACCCAGTTTAGCTTGAAATTCCCGCTAACATCATGCAGAAAATCGTGTCACTTTGACACAGGATAGAAAAAGGGACTTTAACTACAAATTTCACCCCGGTTATTTTCCACACTTGTGCTACAAAGTCCTTGAAAATATACCCCGTAAATGCGGCACTTCTCTGTACAGAAATATTTAAGTATGAGCCCCCCACCCCCGGGGGCTGTATGGACCAGTTCACCGGGGTAAACCCCTACTCGTTTTGAAAGGTGTACTGGGTTCTTTAAAGTGCACATGAGCCAATTGTGTACACTGGGCCTACGGTTTATAGTTTTATTTGAGAAGACTTGTTCCACCTCCATATGCAAGCGTACCATTCGAACCAGCGCTCATATTATGGCTGTACATTGCGGCACCCCTGCCTTAACCAGTCAGCCATTTGACTTGCCAACCAAAATTGAGTGTGCATACCTTGAGGTTATGTCTAATGCTGATGTTACCTGCTGCCATGTTCACTAGAATCTTAGGCACTAAAAAAGGACTGATCTTCTTGTAACCCTAGAGAAGGTGAAACAAAACATTTGATAAATAAAAAAAAAAGATTATAAATTTGAATAAAAACAAGGATAATAATTACTTTATTACTATCATTTTTTATTTAAAGATGACAACTTACCCTCGTCTCTAATGCATTGCCAGATAAGATGATCTCATCCATACCTACCATTCCCATACCAACAGCTACACCCTGGAAAGAATAACAAACCAGAAAAACTATAAAAAGAATTTTGGAATAAACAATTGCAGTAAATTGTAGAAAACGTAAGTGGATAAAAGAAAATACATTTAACTATTTTCGTCTTAACTCTAAAGGCCAGCTCAGACAGCGTTGTACGACGCAGCCCGACGCGATTTATCGTCGGGAAGAGTCTTGAGCCGTCTTGAGAAATATTAAACATGTTTAATATTCTATGACGCGACTGCCACCACCCGACGCAAACCAACGCGTCTGCGTTTAACTCACACAGACCCGACGCGACAACAAATAGTGTCGAGCTGCTTCGTACAACGCTGTCTGAGTTGGCCTTTACACACACTGTAATGAACTATTTCTTAGAAATAATTATATCAACATCATATCTTATATCTTAGACCTTCAAATAACACAGTGTCAAAAAAACTTATAATTCAAATTACCGTGTATTCACTCTCCTCTGGGGTTGAGGGGTTCCACTGAGCATGGTTAAGAGCTTCTCCTGCAGCCGCTAATGCAAAGATGGTGGCATTGCTTATTGAGCCCACCTCCTATGAATAGACAAAGATTCATAACTTTGAGAATTCACCCCAAATCAAGACTAAAATGTGTTCTCCTTTAGGTGCTCGAAAATAAATAGAAAACCCCCCCCCCAAAAAAAAAAACATAAAATAATAACTGGTGGAAGTTTCTCATTTCTCATAATTTATTTATTTCTCCACAAAATAAAAAATATATTAACAAATTATGGTAGATGGAGCAAAAGAGGTTGGTTGTCAATTAGAGGTTTATGATATATAAGGTACGGTATAAAGACGTTCCCTCATAACTAACACATTTATTTCAAGATTATTCTCAAAGAAGTGTTTACATAAAGAAATGTTCACAGTGTTTACTAGGTCAATGGAGGCACTACAAGAGCACTTTTGAAGAATGAATTACATAATTTCCTATCGATTTGGTTTCATTTGAAAATTATATTTATTAATTATTAATATCATTATTTTAAAATATTTAAAATATATTAATACAACTTACCCTCTTTGATACATATTTATGAACATTAAATTCTCCTTCATTTTCGCCAACAGGGACGTACCCAGCTGAAATTAACAGAATCAAATTTTTGAGATTTAAAATTAAATTTACAGTCAATAATAACCCAGGCTTCAAAGAGCAGCTGCCCAGGAGGGCCCAGGAAGATCAACTGGTAGAGTGCAAGTGGGAGTTCAGACAAAGCCCCTAAGACCTAAAGTATATCTTAGGAATTTTGATGTCTAATTTAAACAATTAGGTAGTAGAGTAGTCATTCAAAATGAAAGACATTTTTTTTATTCTTCTTATTATCTTTTATCTTAGTGACCCAGTGGGGGTCAACATAAAGTGGCCCAGTGGGGGTCATCATATAACAGGGTGTAAGTGGGTGTCTGGGTGGTTAAACACATGAAAATATGTCCCTTCAGATATTAAAATTATTTGTTCAAAAAGATAAGATTTGTCCATTTAGCTATTTAAATATTTTCTCCCTGGTGGCACACTCCCCCTCTAGGCGCTACTGACAATAACGGAGTAAAAATGTATCAAAATGCAATAAATTATGTTACATGATTTTGGTAGCCATCAAACACCTTCTGTTTTGTTGTCAAAAAGAGAAATGATCACGTATGTTACTCTAGAATTTGTATCTGTATTCTGTTAGCGTACCAACTTGACTCGGATTGCTTTCAAAACCTTTGCCACGGAGATTACTTATTCCACAATTCCCTGCAATAAGTTTGGACCAAACATGCTCCGTTCCAACACCAAGGGGACACACAATTCCTAGTCAAAGAAGAAAACAGGTACAATTTATGTGATGCATGAACAACAACAATAACAATACAATATTTCAATTAACAATACTTTAATTTTTTAAAATTTTAATATATATTAATATTTTTGGTAAACATAAGGGCAAATAGAAAATTTTATTAGATTATCACTCCCGCCCGCGTCAAAAATTCGGGAAATATTGACGCGGGAATAAAAAAATTTAAAAAAAATGTTTTTGCCGCATCAATTATTTCAACAGCATAAAAATAACAATGCAATTTTGTGACCTCAAATACATTTTCTTTAAAAACTATAAAATTTAGCCAGTTTTTATACAATATTTACTATTACAGACCAAATATAAACAGTCCCTCCCACATCGATAAAAACAAAAGCGAAATAATCTATTGTTCTGATTAAAAAAAATAAACTACAATCGGAAAATTTGCGTATCATAGGCCTGCACTCAGCAAAAATAACCATGAAATTTTAATAATAAATATGGGACGAACAGACCAATCTGTTTGGCCTCACTACAGTAACACCTACTGCCAGCCCGTCGAATTTCCCATCCACTTTACACCTGGGCCTAGGATAAATTTCTTTGGGATAAATGAATATAAATTATATTTTACCGATTCCTGTTACTACAACCCTTCTTCTTGTATCACTTGAGCAGTGTCTTCTTTGTGTTAATTGTTTAAATACAACTATCGAATACTTGCGAATCATGTTTTAAATCCCCCGGAGACATACAAAAACCGACCAAAAAAACTTTGTTTACCTATAAACGCCCTCTATTGTCTGACACTACATATTTTTCATAGGGCAAATTGCCAAAGCGATATTTAGGGATGTAGCATTTAAACGAAAAATGTTTCTCGTTTATAGCCACGTTCCGCTTCCTTTCTTTATTACAGATTCCAGAACAATACGATACACTTATGATTAAAATGTCGTCCAATTATTTATGTTCCCGATAGAATTGAAACATTTCCCTTGATCACCAATAATAATAATAAACATTTAGTTTGTACAATTCATAGATTTAAGTGTTTTCCGGCTAACCGATTCGGCCATCATTAATCCTTTACGTTTAATGGATAAAGTTTGTGTAATCAATGACAGAAACAGCGACAGAAAGAAAATTGTGTTTTAATGATAAGTCAGAGATATGTAGGAAAGCAATTTGTAATTTTACATACAAATGACATAAAACTGAAAGTGTTAATTTCTCAACACCCATTATGTTATGTTATCTCTTGGCATGACTTAGAAAACTAAACAACATTCAATATAGAACAGAAAATATAGAGCAGAAAAGTTCACCTGTGTTTATCTATTCACGACTGAAAAATAAATTAATCTACCACAGTAGGCCTACTTTTAATGTCAGGCTCCGGAGGGAAAAAAATGTTTTTTGATATGTTGAGAACTGATTTTTCATCATTTAACATATCAATTTTTTTCCTCCTCTGGCTTTAATAAGCACAATTCAACTTGTTAATTGAAAATAAACTTTCAATTGTTTTAATGGTTTTGCATCACTTATATTTTAAATATGCTTGATTTTAAATTGCACTATAATAAAACAATTGTTAAGGTCTTCGTTCTGTCACTGACACTTCGACTAAGTAGCTGGGTTTAAATGATAATTTTTTTCTCCATTCTTATGAAATACGGTAATATACAAGTCATTTCGTAACTTGCCTAAACGATAAGCTATTACACCATTTATTTCCATAGTTCAGTTTTCACCGTTCAAAGAAATTATTAGTATTAATATGATTTAATCATTATCATTATTATTGATAGTATCCCCAATAAAGGCTGTGTTGAGGTTGTTTTTTTTTAAAGTCTTCTTCTTATCGAGTCTATACACGAGTTCATAGTCAATTGAGCTATGTCGATTTAGTTCTAAAAACTTGACACATTATATATCGGCGTGTATATAGGGTGACGAGGATTGGTAGGAACAGGGCCGCGACGTGAACGCTCCTTTGTTGACCCTTTAAGTGAGTCGGTCAGATCAAAAAGAGGGCGCCCAGCATTACGGAGATAGTCGTTGTGTACACTTTATAATCCTGGAGCATACTTAAACTGTTCAATCACTCGTTTTAATGTTCATTTTAACTGCAATGCTTACACCTATTCCTGTGGATCAGAATTGATATGTTTAATGCAAATCCATGTGCATAGTTTGAGGGTAATACGCTCATTTATTGAGTGTCAAACCGATGATGTTTGATGGTTGGTTAGATAAAGTAGATTATGCTACAACAATTGTACATTCTGTAGTGTGATGTTGGATAATGAACAAGCATCGAATACTAATGATAACAACAATAATAACGATAATGGTGATGATGATGATGGTATGATGTCTAAATAGACACATATAATATATAGTAATTCATTACACAACAACAATTATGATGACGATGAGAACACGGAGGAATAAGCTTATAAACTTATTCCTTATGATGAGAATGATGATAATAATCATATTAAAAGACATGGTTGGTGAGATAAGCAGATTATTCTACAACAATTGATGTGATGTTGGCTAATAAAACAACAATCATCGAATTCTAATGATAATAAAAACAATCAGATAATGGTGATAATGATGATGGTGATGATGATGATTTTTAAATAAAAACATATAGGCCTAACATATAATTCATTACCCAACAATAGCTATAATGACGGCGAGAAAGATGATAATAATAAGTCACTTGCCTTGTTGGACTGATCGGAAAATATGGTGATGTTTGAGAGTTGATGAGATAAAGTATGCTACAAAATTATACATTCTGTTAGTGTAATGTTAGCTTAATAATACAGGCTATCGAATACTAATAATCATAACAATAATAACGATAATGATCATAATGGTGATGATTAGAGCAGCTTCTCAGTCGGCTAAAGTAGTAGTAGCCACTGTGTGTGCGTTGAACCATCAAATCTCTTGGTCCCCGGTTCAATTCTCATCGCTGCTCTCCTTGCATTTCAGTTATAAGGCTGAAATGCAAGTTACGTACACTCTTCGGGAAAGAATAAGCGTACTGCCCAATCGCAACAGTAAGACCCCACTAAAAATAAGTCTTCTGCAGACATTCGTGGTTTATTATTGGTATTTACATGAAATAAATCCAAATCCAGAAGATGATGATTATGGTGATGATGTCTAAATATAGGCCTACATATAATATAATATAAAATTTAAAAAAAAAGGTTCATTACACAATCATGTTGATGATGAGGATGATGATAATTGCCTTGTTGTTGATCAGTTTAATTAATCAATTCTTTATTCATCAATTTAATCAATACAAAAACAACCAAAACAATTACAGAGGCAATCATCAAATAATAATAATAATAATAATAATAATAATAATAATAATAATAATAATAATAATTAATAATGACACGAATATTTAAATAAATGCATGATGAAAAGGACCTAAAACAAACACCAAAGAGCTTGTAAATAGGAGGTTCATCAAACTGATTTTTTATCTTTATAAATCTTACAAAAAAATTTAACCTAACAACTATTTTATAAACAATTGTAAGCGCAACCAACGTTTCTTTCTTGACCAAAACTCAGAGAACAAGATACATCATGTATTATTTAACCAATCTATATGTCTTACCGTTGTATGCTACTGACGTCTTTTTATGGTCTTACCAACGAAAATGAAATAAAACTAACAGAAATGCTCACTTCAAGAATAAATATTCGTTGAGATGTTAAAGATCTATGATCTTTATTCAACAATATAATAAATAAAAGCTGAAGATGATCATTATGGATGGTACTTATCGTCTGCACTCAATTCTTTTTTTCCACAAATCCGGCATAATTTGTTATCCTGTAGTCAAAACCAATCGTTAACGGATTTCATTTATCCCATCAGCCATTCGTCTATGACATAACAGTTCTATGTTTAGATAATCGGTTGCTAACATGTAGGCTATACCCTTAAGACGCAGAAATACTAGATTAGAGTAAATCGTTTTTTGTACAATATATGGTGTGCTATGTATATATACTACTACTACTATTACTACTACTACTACTACTACTACTACTACTACTA